CCGACCATATGTAATTTTTTTTCTAGTAATATTTCACATGGTTGGCAACATTGCACATCGAATTCAAGTACAAGGCATGATGCAATAATAAGGTGATGTAACAAAACAAAAACATTTTTTGTCTCGATTATCTGTCAAATTTTTCCTTATAATATTTAAAAAAATTGGCAGCATTGCACATCGAATTCAAGAAAAATTAACCAATTTGACAGTTAATCAAGACATCAGCTGCTCTAAATGGACTACCTATTCATTGTGCCATGGTACAATGTACATTTAATAAGGTTGCCGCATCGGCACAGTTGTTTGTGCGAACCAAAAAATTAAAAAAAAAAAAACAAAATTATAAATGAAAATCTTCGAATTTAGAAGAGCTTGGCAATACTTTTATTAACATTTTTACAAGAATTTGTGTAAAAAAATGTTTTGGCAAAATATTTTTGACATATCAGAATAAAACAGCCGATGTTTTTTTGTAGAAATTCGCCTATGCGTTTACCTTACTGAATATACCATGTTCAAGTAGAAACTACGCACTTTGACAGTTAATCGAATAATCAGCTGCGCTAAATGGACTACCTATTTATTGTACCACGAGGTATGAATTTTGCATACTGTAGTTGCATGTGAAACCAGCTCTACTTGATGCCATGTTTCCACGATATGTTGAAAAACATATTTCTTTGCACAGCTATGATGAAGTGTATACAAATGCAGTGACATATAACGCATGACGTTCTATTTAGGTGTGTGTGTGTGTGGGGGCGTGTATTGTATGTTTCGATTTTATTTTAAATACGTTTTAGTTTGCAAAAAATCAGTCTCTATTGCATTTGTTGTTGTAGTTTTATGTTGTTGCTACATAAAATGTTGTTTATTTTCGTTATTGCTATTGTTGTTCTTGTTGTTGTGTGGCGTTTTTTTTTAAGTTTTGTTTATCGAAGTAGTAGTTGTTGCAGTATTTTCCTTAGTACAATTGGCTTGCAGTTTATTTTGTATGGTTAAAAATGATTTTTTCAACTGTATTGTTTTGTTATTGAGTTCTTTTCTTATTTTTTATGTAATTTGCATTTTATATAATTTACGTTTCGTCATTTTTTATTTATCTTGTTTGTTTTTTTGTTTAAAAACTATTGTATGTGCCTTAGAAAAAATATCACATTCTTACTTCGTTCGATCGAGAGACTTTTTTGTTGTTGTTTTGTTTTTGTGTTATTCTTAATTTGTTTTATATACAAAATTTATTTTTTGCTAAAATATTTATTATTTGATTTCTGTATATATAATAGATTTTGTATATACGTTTTGTTGTTGTTGTTTTCTTTTTTTTATAATAATTCATTTAAAAATATATCAATTATCATTTGTTGAGGTCATTACGAAAATTATTGCTAAGAAGTGTATGTTGTTGTGGTTGTTGTTTTTGGGCGTATAAGTAAGAGTATAAATTGTTATGGTATGTAGGCTGTTTGTGTTGCTAGTTTTTTTTTTTTTTTGCAAAATTTAAATATAACATAGGGATTGAAAAGTTTACATATATATTCCGGAAATATGAATTCAATAATTTACCGATTAGCATATCCGGATATAAATAAGAATACATCACTTTTCAACCTTTACGCTTTGGCCCAATTGTATTGTAAGTCATTTACAGTGTCTTATTTATAAAACATATTAATTTTGTATTTATATATTTAATTTTTGTTATAATTAAATCTATTCTATAAATATTGTAGACATTTATATAAAAATTTATTTTGCATTTTTTATTTAATATTTCTAGTTTAAAAGTTTGTTATTTATTCTTCTTTTGATTTTTTTTATTTTTACTTAAGAAAGTGACAGTTATACAAAGAGAGAGATAGAGTACTGTGGGTTTTAGTTGTTGGAGAAAAAAGTTTTTTTTAAGTTTTTGTTTAAAAATATTGCTTACAACATCAACAGTAAAATATTTTTTTTAGATTTTTTTGTTTTTTTTTTTATATTTTAATATCCAAAAAGACATCTAACACCAAAAAATAGATTTTATAAAATTGTTCTTTTTGTCATATTTTATATAAGTATATATATGTATATGTGTGTATAATGTAGGTATATAAATTGTATTTTGTAATAATTTTTTTACATGAGATAGTTTGCTTTACTTTGTTTGTTAACAAGATTTGTTGGAATTTTAAATTAGAAAAGAAATATTATAAATTAAAACAAATTAGTCTAACCGAAAAAAAGAAATAATTTATCATGTGAAGCAAATTCATAAGTTTTTTATTGCAGCAATTATTGAAACATCAGTCAAATTATCGCATGTGATGACCCCTTATTTTAATCACGTTTCCACCAGATATAAAATATTTAAACCTTACAAATGTAATAATGTAATGTAACAGCCATGACACAATAAATAGGTAGTCCAATTAGCTCAGCTGACCAAGGCCTATAAATAAGGTCTTCCCGGGAGATCAGCTGTTTCTGAAGTTTAATGTCAAAATTAATTATTGTGAATTGACACCCATTATGAAAACATAAACGAAGTTCAAATTCTTGACATTCTCCTTGAGAAAAGATAGCTGACTTTCGCTTGCTAGGTGACCTTGATAATAGATCTTGCAGCTGACTATACGATTGACTGTCAAAGTGCTTAGTTTCTATTTGAATACGATGACCAATGTTGCCAACCATGAGAAATATTATTAGATAAAATTTGACAGTCGGTCCACATGCAAATTTGTTGTTTAAGTAATACTAGTGCCAAAACATAATATACAAATTATTAAAAAATATATATTTTCGATTCCTCAAAATAAATTTGAAAAACATGAATGAAATTCTATTTATAAATTTATATTTCTATCACTTCCACACCCTTTCTTTAATTAGGCCATTGTCAGTTACATGAAAATTCTGGAAATTGAGAATTATTCTATGAAGAAAAATGCTTCTGCTTAAAACTTTCCCAGCAGGGAGATTGAGTAAATTGAATACGGCAGGATATTTAATAAAGAAAACTTTCGAATTTTATGCTACATAATTTTCCTGTTGGATCAATTTTATAAACATAATTTGTCATATTTATATTGTCACGAGTATGTCGTTGGAATCAAATCAGCTGGGTTTTGTAATTGCACCATGATGCTGATAATACGTTTCTGGCCTCCTAAAGGCCTGTTTAGACTATAATTTATAACGTGATAACTCTCATTTGAATTTTTGTCGAAATATTTAGCAAGGAACTTTGATGTTAAAGTAGAAAATTTACCAACAAAAATTTCCTTTGGTATGCCACTGTATATGTCAACAATCATCAGCTGACTGGCATTTACATCATTACGTAGTATGTGTAATGTAAATTTACTTTAAGCCATCACATATAAAACAATTGTTCAACTTCTAAAAATCTTTAGCAATTGGGTCTACAAATTTTACTTTTACTTCACAGCTAATTACTGTGGAGATTTACTCGAAGAAATTTTGTATGGTAAGTGCTATGTATACTTTAACAGTATTTAAATCACGTAATTTAAATTGTCAATATCATTACTCCATATTTACATATAACGTGTTTTACGTAAGTACATCTTTATATGATATATTTCAAATGACAATTTCATAACGTATATGTCACCTTAATCATGTTTACAAATCCAGTGGCTTATATTTGACATATACCCTACGAAATTGACATTTTAAATCGAGTGGATTTCCTAAATCTAAACACACTTTAAATCGAGGAACCAAATCTTAAAGTTTAGATTTACGAAATCCAATCGATCTCAACTGTCAATTCCATAGCGTATACGTCAAACATAATCCATTGGATTTGACGATCGAGTAGATTCCCTAGTCTAAACGTGCTCTAATCTTTATAGACTGTTATCAACATTATATAAAGTTTTCGGTCAGCTGTTATTTGCAAATGTACAAATAGAATGTTCATTAGTACTTTTAGGTTTAGTGAAGCATTGCTTTGTGCAAAAACAGGGTTACATTTGAAATTTGCTCGATTCTGCATACGATTTCGAGCATATCGAGATAATGAATCAATGTTGCAAAATGGGTGCTTTATGAATTTACTTCTTTCTACTAAAAGACATTTTTGTATGAAGTAATGAAACCATAATTCATTTCATAAAAAATAATAAAAATTCAAATACAAAAAAAAAATATTTTTTTTGTTTCCAATATTGTAAAATATACTAATTTATGAAACCTTTTTTTAAATTGTCATTTATTTAAAAATTGTCCTTTGAGAAAAATTTATGGATTTCCTTTTTGTTATATTGCAGTTGCTTATTTTTTGTTGTTTTGTAAGATTTCTAAGACATCGAGATTTGTTAGTTATAAAAAAGTTGCGGTTTTTTTTTTTGTTTTTTACTTTTGATTATAAGTAGACACCGAAAAACAGACATTTATCGTTTTATTTTTGTTTCTTACTTTTTTTTTGTTTAGATTCTAATATTTTCTTATTTTTACATCTATGATTTTTTTAACTCTTAAAAATGCATTGCAAATATTTTCAATATTTTGAATGCAAAAAAATGTTCGTTGTAGTTTTATTTTAGTACGAGTTTATATTACTACAATTTGTTGTTTTTTTATTTACTTTGTTCTTTTTATATTTATAAAAATATAGTATTTTTTAAATATATATTTAATCTTTTAATGTGTGACATAATGTAGTTTGTTTTTCTTTGCTAAATAAAAGTCTTAAATCCCTCCAATTGTTTAATGAAAATGATCCATGATTGATTTTTTGTTGATTGTGTGTATGTGTGTTTTTTTTTTTTTTTATAAGTATGTGCTTTTAAAGAATGTTTTTTTAAAATTTGTTTTCTACAATTTCCAATGATTTTTTTCTTATATAATTTTGTTCAAAATGTACAATATAATTTCTCTAATTTTTTTTTACAATTTCAAATTGGTTTTATAATTTGAAGAATTTGGACACCAATTACATGTTCCAATTTTTTAATTTTAAATGAAATATTGCTTGATTTACTTACTGTGTCATCGTGTCGCCGTGTAGTTTTGTTGCACACAAGAAAAAAATTAAATGTGTGTCACCCAGTAATGTCGTAGATAAAGCCTTCTGGCCACATTATAAACTGAAGGCGTGAAGGCATTGACAGTTAATCGAGACATCAGATGTGCTAAATGGACCACCTATTTATTCTGCCATGTTTTCATCCACAATAATTAAATTCGTTTACGTGTTGGATTTGAAACGAGTGGATTTAATTTGGCAGGTAAATCGAGGTAAATTCAACTCTGGCATGTTAGAATATGTTATTGAGCTCCAATTGTAAGATAAGAAAGCCGAAAATTTTTAATAGTGTCAAAACTAGTTTATAATAACTAAAATAACTCTAATCACCTCCATTATTCTCATTTCAACTGATGCTTTTTCTTTGTGTTATTACTGACATTCCAAAATCACAAGCAGTGTTGCATTTCAAGCCGGTCGATTATCAACAATATCGTGTCTTTGCTGATTGGTTTCATGAAATGCATAAAAATGATCCGAAATTCGATCAAAAATCATTGTGAATGGTATCGCTTAAATCGACTAATAGACTTTTTGTATTGAAAAGTCGACCTTTGATCTTTGAGAAAATTGCAAAGTCGATCTTTCAAGATCGACTTTCGATTTTCTTCATAATGCCGGAATTGCAAAAGGTTACACATTCCAGAACATTATTTCATCTTTTGACAACAATTCTTATAAAAAAATAAATGCGCGTTTAGACTATACTTTTTATAGTGAATGAATTCACCGCCATTTACCATACAATATAAAATTCATTATCACAATTTGTTCGAAATCGTATGCTAAATTGAGTTAATTCAAATACAACCCTGCTTTTGTATCAAAGAGAATCACTTCTCCTAAATGTATGCTTTAAAATGCGTTAAAATTCAAAATATATCAGCTGCTGAAAATGGATTTTTTTAATTAATAATGAATATTATTACAACTTTCAACAACCTAATGAAGTGCAGAAGTTATGATACCAGTAAAATGTGTTCTTGTATACATAAACAAATAACAGCTGATGAATCAACGTTATATCATGTTAATACTATTCGAAACGTCTAGGATTTGGTAGATCTATTTAGAGGTCATAGTCTAAACGCTCCATTATTACAAACTGACAGTCCGAATAAGTATCCTTCCCATCGCATATAAAGTGATATACAGCGTGCTGTGTGAATGACTGAAGCCAATGGTCAGTGAAATTATTGGACCATACCAATGCGGCTTCAGGCATGGTTTATCCACCATTGACCAGATTTTCACTCTGCGCCAAATCCTGGGAAAATCCCAAGAAAAATACATCGACACATTCCACCTATTCGAAAGCCCTATCCGTTCAGAGGTGCTTAAAGCCATGCCTGCGCTTGGCACTCCTGCAAAATTTATACGTCTATGCAGGATAACTTTAACTGGTACAAGGTCAGCAGTAAAAGTCGGAAAGGACCTCTTGGAACCTTTCAACACCGAACGAGGATTCAGGCAAGGCGACAGTTTATAGTATTACCTGTTCAACATCCTGCTGGAAAAGGTCATACGAGATGCAAACATATGTTACTCGCCTACGCTGACGACATCGACATAATGGGTCGAACATTACTAGCGGTAACAGACAGGCTGACTTCCAAAATGTTAATTGCTTTGCATTCGAACAAAGCATCATGTTTCATAATGCAACATTACCAAATATTTACATTGCATTCTATTTCAAAATGTCGCTGACACGTATTTGCAACGCAGTTAAAAAGGAATCGGGCATCGGTTTTATTGTTGATGCATTATTTGTTTATGAGCACAAAATGAAATATCCAAAGAAAAAAGTTAATGACAGATTCACAAAAGTAATTTTAGTAAAATATTAATATGCGTAACAAATAAATGTATATTTGTTTATTTCATAAAACAGCTGATTTGTTAGTGATACATTGCATCACATTCATTTTATATTGTAAATGTTTGCAAAATTCCTAGTTGCGATGTTTAGTAACTTTGCATGTGTACGAAGTTTAAATACCGTAGTATTATAGTATACAAACATTGCCTTGATACATTTTGGAAGTCAGCCCCACCTTTCAACGAATTGTGAAGAAGTCTGCCAAAGTGGGACTTGGGCAAGGCCACTGTTGCCAGACCAAACGCACACTCTCCAATGCTGATATTATCTTGATCTGAAGCATGGGTACTTGCGCAAGCAAGGAGGCATCTCTTGGAGTGTTTGAGAGAAAAATTCTCCAGAAGATCTATTTGCAGATCTGCGTCGATGGTGAATATCGCCGTCGAATGAACCATGAGCTATACAATCTATTCTCAGACATCAACATAGTCAGACGGTTCGAGCTGCAGCGTTTACATTGACTAGGCCATCTTGTGAGAATGGATGAAGATGCCCCAGATTTATATGCATATAAAAGCGATCCAAGTAATGGTTCACGCAGAAGGGGAAGGCCATAAATCCGATGGAAAGATTAAGTGGAAGACAACATCTCGGAAAATAGTCTTTCAAATTGGATGAGATGCGCACAAGACCGACGCGACTGGAAATCTTTTTAAGCTCGGCTTTTGGAATAACCGTTCTCTCATAAGCCAGCTAAGTAAGACAGTCCAAATTTTTAGTGTGATCTCTCCCTAATATGTATGGTTTCAGCAAATAAAAAGCGCTGAAAAGAAATTGTCACAGAAATTATGATGTGTATGTATACGTAAACAAATAACAGCTGACAAATCCACTGCATTTCATTTCCATACTAGTCTAAACAGTTTGGAGTCATAATCTAAACGTGCCTAAACGTTCCAATTTATTGCGTGGCCAGATCAAAAAAGTGATGCCAAATTTACTTGTATATAAATTGTTGGCAACGCGTACATATTTTAATGTTGACGCTTTCATTAGAAAAATTAGCTAAACTCTGGAAATTCGTATTGTTGGTATATATAAAATATATTTACATTATAAAAGTATTTTATGTGACACATTCGAATATGTCAAATAATACTTTGATTTTTTCTTTTGTGTGCCTGTCAAAATACACTTTCAACACAATAGTGTGTGTATAAATGTTGTGTCAGTTTGTATTGTGTAAACATGTCATGACATAAATTAAATAAAATCAATAAAACAAATCAATATGTGAATTACAAAAAAATTAAAATTTTTATTTAAAAATTATATTAAATAACATTAAACATAATATAATAATAATTAAAAATTATTATAATTATATAAATATTGATCTATATGTTTTGTAAAAAAATACATTGTTTAAAATTTTCACAAATGTTCACAGCTTGATTTCTATTTCAAATAAAAAAAATGAATATACATATGTACTTTTGTATATATATTGTTACTTTTAAACAAGATGGGGAAATAAGAAAATTTATATATTTTTTTGTTGAAACAAGTGTGTGTTTTTGTGATGCTCTTTATAATTGTGTTTAGTTTTTGTATTTATAGCATTTATAAAAATAGCTCTAAGGTGGTGTATAAGGACAGTTTCTGTTACCAAGAAATTCATTAAAAAAATATATATTAACGCAAAACATAAAATAGGCAGTGTTGTAAATTAAATGAAACCATGAAGTCTTAAAACAAGTAAAATAAAATAATAAAAAAAACTCTAAGCCAAAAATATATCTAGACGTATTAGTGAATGTTTCTATAAAATATAAGAATAATAATAAAAATAATTTTAGGGCAGATAATTGTTAATGAACAGCGTCTTTTAAATTTTTTTTTAAACTAAAATAATAAGAAAACTTAGTATAGTTATTTTGTTTTTTTTTTTTTTTATAAATAGAATACAAAATAATGTTTGAAATAACTTTTTGAACACTTTGTTAAGTTAGATTTTTTTGAAAACAAAAGAAGAAGAAAAAATAGAATGAAAGAATTTTCAAATTTATAAATAAGAAAATTATTTTCTTTAGAAATATATATATATATATATATATTAAGAACACTTTCAGTTGAAAATATTATTTCACTTCATATATTGCCAAAAATTGACAGCAAAAATTAGTGCAATAATTCACACAAATGGTATGCTAACTGGCGACGTATTTTTTTAATATTTCTCAGAAAATATTTAAAAAATTAATTTTAATTTATTTTTAATATTAGAATCTAAAAACAATTATGATTAAAATATAAAAAAATGTTTGTGTGTTGTTTTCGAATTTTGAATAGGCCAATTCATACTGTCGCCGGACAGCTTAAAGAATGCGAAACTTGATGGCAGTTGCAGTTGTTAAAAGCTTCGATATTATTTGCATGGAATTAAATGATTAAAGATTTGAAATTGAAAAAGAGAGATGCAATTTTAAAAAGAAATTCATTTAAATTAAGAAATCATATTTCAATTTTTTTCATTTCTGTTATTAAAATAAAAAATAATATTATGTATTTTTATGTGTTTATGTTTTTTTGTTGTTGTTATGGTAGTTTTAGTTTCTGGTTTTTGTTGTTATTTTTTGTTAATGTTTATGAGGTACTTTTATATTTTTGGCACAGTGAAAGTTTTTCTCTTGTTTTTTTTTGTTGTTGTTGTGTTTGATTTTATTAATTTGATTTTTCTTATTATAATCGAATTTATAGTTTTTGATTTTTGTTTTAATGATGTGTGTGTATATATTTTTTTACTTTTGTATGTTTTTGTAAAACAACAAAAATAATTAATTCATTGGTACGGAAATTGTGTGTGTGTTTTGATTTTTTATCATATTGTTTTTGTTTTGTTATTTATTTGTTACATCTATAATATATTGTATTTTGTTTTAGTATTAATTCGATGTTCTTGGTTCAATATTGTTTATTGTTATTTATAAGCAGGAAATGTGATTTATTTTTATGTGGTTTGTACAAAAAAAATTTTTTTTCATTACAAAAATATTGAGTCAAAATATGTACACGAAAGTAAAATGGCATTTACATGAGAACTTTTTACTGGGTTAACATTCTCTTTGCGGTTTTAGTTGTCATA